TCCCAGCTGACACACGCTGCCTGCTTCCTTCAGGGCCTACATCCCTATACACACAGATGTCTCTTGTGGGACCGGGTGCAGTGAGGCCTGCTTTCTAACCCGGGTTCCCTCATCTACAAGGTGTGGCTACGACCAGAGCCGCCTCCTGAGAGCGCAGGGAGATTGCGACGCACCCCGCACCCCTCCGCCTCCACCCCAAGAAATGCTCAGGGGACATCGGCCACGTTGCAGAGAAACCCCTCCTAACGGGAAGGGAGCATGGGTACGCGAGGCTCCGGTACTGACCGCGGCTGGGCGACAGCAGGCCACTCGGGCAGGGGACGCTCACTCTCCTCAGCTCGTCCAGCTTCTCCTGCAGCTTCCGCACCTGGCTGTCGGAGCGGCTGACCCTCTGCCGCAGGCTCTTCAGCTCGCCGTTCTTCTTCTCCACCTGCTCCCGCAGGCAGCACACTTGGCTCTTGTTCTGCCGGGAGGAGAAGCAGTAGGAGTGCAGTGAGTCGATGAGCTTGCAAGCCCCCGACGCTGACAGGATGACCTCGTTGATGGACATGGGGCTGGCGTCGCTGTGCTGGCTCTGCACGGCTTCCGTGGCTGGCTTTGGGGTGACGTCGGCGGGAGGGGCGGAGGGGCTCTGGGAAGGCTTCTGCGGTGTCGCGGTAAGTGATGAGCCGGGGGGACTCTGGGCCAGGCCCTTGTCGGGCCCCAGGCTGCTCCCACTGCAGCTTGGTTCCACATCTTTCTTCGGCCTCTTGCGGTCAATGGGCTCTCGGGGGACAGATGGCCTTTCTCGGGTGTGCTTGGAGGAGAAACTGTACGAATGAAGTGAGCCAATAAATTTGCACGCCCCAGATCCTGGGGGCGTAAAGTCATCCATGGAAATGCCACTCTTATCTGCCACGCCCCCTTCGATGGAGGGGGTGGTGCTCTCATCGCCAGCATCTGTGGCAGACACTTCTGCTTTTCCCTGGCTGCCTGCCACCGTGGTGGCCAGTCCGTCTCCTGGAGTTCGTTCCAAGGCTTGCTGGGCCTGCTCCTGGCTGGCGGCCTCCTGGGCCGCCCTGGGTGCGGCTTCACCCTGCAGAGCAGCTCGCTTCAACCTGCGGGACTCTGGCTTGGCCATCGGGTTTCCACTCGAGGACGGTGACCAACCTGTAGCTCCTCTGCCGGTGGCGGCGCTCGAGTGTCCCCTCACACCCCCTGTGGCCTTGCTGGCATCTTTCCTCCGGGTGCGGCCATGGCCTCCAGCCCCCCTCTTCTTCTCAGTCAGGTGGAAGATGGATGGCACAGCTGTGGGCTTCAGCAGGCGATGCTGGTCCTCCAGCCTCTTGGAGAAGCTGTCTTTGGTGAAATGCTCACTACAGAGAAATGAATACTTAGTGGGAGTCCAGTTATCCCTCTGAACAGCTTTTAACCATTGGATTAGACGTTTTGAGTCCTTTAGGGGGAACCTACAGGACAAACGACAAAGTAATTAGAAATAATTAAATGTCTCCCCTTAAAATAATCAACTGTAAAAGCAAAACAAGTATTTTTGCAAGCACCCTAAGCTGTACTGAATTCATCCACTTAAAAAAATACTTCAAAAAAATTTAAGAAACATCTTCTACTGGAGTAGAAATCTGAAAGACCCGTTGTCTATCCATACAGAGCTTTCAGTCTGTAGGGCGGATGGGAAAGAAGGTAACCAACTGCTCCCCAGCTGTGGTAAATGCCCTATGGGGACACAGGATGCTGAGAGACAGTGCCAGGATGGCCTCAGGACAGCAGGAAATAGCTCCTAGGAGCTGACTGCTAACTAACCCTCCCAAACTGCCTGGAAGGTAGGACTCTGGGTGCTAAAACCAGGGCCAGCTCCACATAGACTGGGGCGTGAGAGGTCAGGACTGCACCAATGCAGCCCTGGCTGTGCACAAGCAGCTGAGAATCTGGAGACCTCCAGAAGACTCCAGAGCTACAGTTCTGTGTTCCTGCTGCAAGCCCACCTCCAGGAATAAAAATGCTCCTTTTAAAAGTCAACAGCCCAGGGACAGGCCACAGTGGTGCTCGCCTGCACTTCCAGCTACTCGGGAGCCTGAGGCTTGAGGATTCTTTGAGCCCAGAAATTCGAAGTTACAGTGAGCTAAGACTGCACCACTGCTCCCCAGCTGGGAAAAGAGCAAGACCAGTCTTCTCCCCTCAAAAAAAAAATCACCAAACCAGATGAACTTGAGGAGACATATACTGAATGAAATAGGTTAGTTGCAAAAAGACAAACACTGCATGATACCACTCACGTGAGGTACTTAGAATAATGAAATTCACAGAGCAGAAGAGCCAAGGGCGGCGTGGCTCACGCGCCTGTAACCAGCACTTTGGGAGGCCGAGGCAGGCTGATCACAAGTCAGGCAGATCAGAGACCATCCGTGGCTTAAACAGGGTGAAGACTCTGTCTCTACTTAAAAATACAAAAAAGCGGAGCGGTGGTGGCAGATGCCTGTAGTCCCAGAGTACTCGGGAGGCTGAGGCTGGCGAGCAACGGCATGAACCCGGGAGGCAGAGCTTCGCAGTGAGCGAGATTGCGCATTGCACCTCCAGCCTGGGCAACACGCAGTAGACTCCGTCTCAAAAAAAAAAAAAAGACAGGAGAATGGGGGTTACCAGAGCCCAGGGAGAGGAGGACTGGGGTGTTAGTGTTTAACGGGTGCAGAGATTAGGCTTTAGAAAATAAAAATAATTCTGGAGATGGATGGTAGTGACGGTTACACAACAATGTGAAAGTATTTACTGCCATGAACTGTACACTGGAAAAAGTGGTAGGAAAGGCTGGGAGCCGCAGCTCATGCCTGTGATCCCAGCTATTCTGGAGGCTGAGGTGAGAGGACCACTTGGGTCCAGGAGGTTGAGGCTGCAGTGAGCTATGGTCACACCACTGCACTCCAGCCTGGGTGACAGAGTGGGGCTCTGTCTCCAAAAAAAGTTAGGATGGTAAATTTCATGTTACATGTATTATACCATAATTTAAAAATTTTGGGAGAAAAGCAACCAGCGCAGGAAGAAACTGAATAGGATGCTTAGCCATTTCTTCTTTATTACCTAATCAAGATCCTTCATAACCATTTCTTCATTAAGGCAAGCTGTGTGTTTAAGAAAACAGGCCTGACCCTGGCGGGGTGGCTCATGCCTGCAATCCCAGCACTTTGGGAGGCCGAGGCGGGTGGATCATTTGAGGTCAGGAGTTTGAGGCCAGAGTGCGAGACCAGCCTGGCCAATATGGCAAACCCTGTCTCTACTAAGAGTACAAAAAAATTAGACGGACGTGGTGGCGCGTGCCTGTAATCCCAGCTACTTGGGAGGCTGAAGCTGGAGAATCGCTTGAACCCAGAAGTGGAGGTTGCAGTGAGCCAAGATCGCACCACTGAACTCCAGCCTGGGCGACAGAGGGAGACTCCGTCTCAAAAAAAAAAAAAGAGAAAAAACAGAAAATATAAACAAAAACAAAAACAAAAAATCAGGCCCTAAGGTGCACATAAGGGGCAAGATGGTCAGTTCTAACTGCTATCTGCTCCACCTGAGGCCAGCGTGGACCAGGACAAACCCTAACAGGATGGACTGGGACGTTCTAAGCAACAGGACCTTCTAATCTCCTTTCTGAATGCTTTGTGAGGCCAACTCCAAAGGTACGCCCCCCACCCCCAATTCCGGTGTCCTTTCCCCCCATACCATGTTAGACCGTTGCAACACGTTGCCTTGTTTTCAAAAAATAGCAACAAAACTTCTAGGACACAAGCTCTGAAGGAAATTGTCATCTGGCTGACTTGTGAAATAATCTAAAGTTACTAATTCTTATAATACATTGTAATGATTTAAGACTGACAGCAAACTACTGTGAACTTTCAATAACACTATAAATAACACGTGCCACTGCCGTCTTTAAAACTTAAATAACACCCTGCAACAAAAAACAGAAACATCTACAAAGTGGTTTTCAAAGTCTGTTCGCGGTTCTGGTGCCTCCCGCGTGTAATCCGCAGAAATCTCACTGAAATAGGCTGAACCCACAAGGCCTTAAGGGGGTTTGGGCCCTGCCGCGGGGGCCCACGTGGGAAGCGGCCGAGAGCCCCGGGCCAGGCTCTAAGGGAGCGCAGGAGGATGCGGTCCCCAGCCGGCCGTCCCGCAGGCTCTCCGCGCAGATCCGCGTCCCGGGCTCGGGGGCCCCGTCCCGGAAAGCCCTCTCGGGGGCTGTCAGCAAGGGAGGCGCAGGTCGCATCTGCCCGGCCGTTCCTGCTCGCAGACATCCAGGCCGACCGCCCGCGGTCCGGAGAGGCAGCAGCCGCGGCCGAGCAGGACAATCGGCCCGGGACCTGCGCTTCCAGAACGTGCGGCTTCTGAAGCCGCGGCGCCGGCCGGATCGATCGCGCGCAGGGCGGACCCGGGCGGCCGGGGTGGGGGCGGCCGTGCTGCCCGAGGCGCCCGGCCCAGAGACGGCGGCCGGGCCAAGGTCACACAGCGCCCACGCCCGCTCCCCCGCGCCCCGGCAGCCGAGGCCCGGCGCCCCCGCCCCCTGCGTTCGGGCCGGCCGCGGGGGCCTCAGTTTCCCCGCAGGGCCGGGCCGGGGCGGGGGCGTGGCGGCCCGGGGCCCGCGTACCTGTGGAAGGAGACGGCGCGCTTCTCGCCCTTGCCCTGCCGATTGGAGCAGTTCACGGCCGCACAGCAGATCACCATTGCGGGCCTTGGCCCAGCCGCGCCGCCAGGCCCCGGCCCTCGCCGCCCGCCCGCCCGCGGACCGCCCCGAGGGAGGGAGCGCGGCGGCGACACGGCTCGGGACGTGGGCCGGCCCGCGGCGTCCGCGCCGTACGGCAAGATGGAGGCGCAGACGCCCGTCGCGGGCCCGCCCCCGCCCCCGCCCGCGTCCTAGCCAGGCGCGGGTTCGGGCGTCTTCGGGACCAGCGGGGCGCAGCCGGCCCCTCGCAGCGTCCGCCGGCAGGCGGGCAGGCGGGCGGTGGAGTCGCCCCGGCGGGGCCAGACCGTACGGCGACATGGGCGCGCCGGGCACGTCCGTACCGCAAGATGGCTGCTCGGACAGGGACAGAGCCCGCCTCTGCCGCCTGGACAACTGCTCCCGGGTCCTCTAAGAGGAGGAAGCGCCACCCATGGCACGCAGTGTCCCGTCGGACAGCAGAGCGAGCCGTCGTCCCGCGACACGACCCCACGCCGCTCGCAGGGCGTCCCGGGCTCGCGTTGGCCCGGCCGTACGCCAAAATGGCGGCTCCCGCGTATTTCCGCTTGCGCGCCGTATCCTCTTTGCCGCCTGCCGCGCGCCCCGATTGGCCCCCGCGGCGTCCCGTCCCCGCGTCGCGCTGCGGGCCCGTCGGAGCGACGCCGCTTGGGTCAGTCGGCGGCCGGACTGGGAAGATGGACGCAGGTGAGGAGTTGCCGGGGGCCTGCCTTTCCGCAGGAGGTGCTCGCCTTATCGTCGGCCTCCGCTGCTCGGGGCCGGGCTGCCGCGACTCGCTCCTGGGCACACCGGTGCGGGCCAGGCTGGGCCGGGGCGGCGGGCGCTGCGGGAGCGCGGGGCGGTGTTGGTGGGTGGTGGGCGGTGGGCGGTGGGCGCGGGAGGGGAACGGCGGCGCTCTGCGCCGCGGAACCGGCTGTCGGTTGCCCTGGAGCTTTTGCTGCTTTTCTGGTCCCGCCCGGAGCGCTCTGGAGGTTGTGGCTGCACAGACCCTTGCGCCAGGTCGGCCGTGGAGAGCGGTGGAGCCTGCCGGGCGGGGAGTGGCTCGGCGGCGGACGGGGCGGCCGCGGTCGGGGCGGCCGCGGTCGGGACCGGGAACGTCAGCGGTGGGCGAAAGCGTGGCCTTCCCGCAGCTGAGCGTGAAGGGATGGAAATTCTTTAACTTTTATGAAGTTATTGGTAGGTTGGGGGCGAGAAATATGACATATTCATTACAATATACGTATCTTTTTTGTTTTTGTTTTCAATTTAGTAACCAGTAGGTCCTCCAAGCTGCTTTTCCGTGACGAGAAAGAGAAACAGTGAATTTGTGTCATCGGGTCTTAGTTTCTTGGGTTCATGAGAGAGAGATTGTGTGTGTGTGTGTGTGTGTGTGTGTGTGTGTGTGGAGTGTTGGTGGTTTTGCCTATTCTTTCATGCTTCCGCTCCATTTTTGCTGGCAAGATAGTTTTAAGTCAGTACCAAACCCATCGCTTGCCCAGTAGCCCTAGAAATATATTTACACAGAAGTTTTAGCCCATTCATTCTTTTGGGAACTGATTTGCCTTTTGTCAAGTATCCCCCTTCTGTAAAGAAAGATTTTCATCTGGTTTAATTCTGTCATTCTGAATGTCATTCTTTATTTACTATTTTTCTGGCAGGTACAACACGAATTTATTAAGATCTGAGTAGGAAAACTGTAATGTGTATTGCCGGTGTCTGTTTAAATGATTTGTAGCAGCTCCCCACTTAAATGTGGTAGATGATTGGAGGAAACAGGAGCCCTGACTCCCTAAGGAGCATGTGTATCTTGTGAAGTTTGTGTTTTAGAATAACTGTCAGACACGGTTGTACTATTCGCAGCTGTGTACTATTTGTTGTTTACTATTTTACAACTGTTGTATTATATCTTATCAGGTATTATTGTTTGTGATGCAGGACTTTTCTCAGCCACTTTGCCAGCCAGAGACCTCCAGCTGGCGAGGCCCCTGCCCAGGCCTTGCTTGGGTCCGGGCTCGCCGCAGGAGATGCCCTGTCTACTTGGCCCACCGGGCGGCACCTGGTTTGCACTCTGGCACGGATACCATGGCCGCCATGACTTCATGCTCAGCCCCTGGCGGGAGTGGGTGTGTGGGTGAGTGAGTGCCGGGTCCCGCCAGCTGTTTCAAGTGCAGACACCAGAGTGGGATCTGCAGATCTTACAGCTAGACGTGTGGCAAGCAACTCCCACAGCGGACTCCAGCATCCAGACAAGGGGGCAGTGGATTCTGGTGTCCAGACAAGGGGAAGGTAGTGGCCCCCAAGCAGGGATGCTTGCAACCCTGAAGCCTAAGAGGGGGTGTTGCAAAGTGTCAACAGCCCTGTCACTCCCATTGCCCTGCTCCAGGCTATAGCTCTGGGGCTAGCTCCATCCCCCCAGCTGCTTCACATTGCTGTGGGCTGTCACGTGGGGCGACTGCCCTTTCCCGGCAGAGGGCCCAGGGCCACAGTGTTACAGCTTTCTTTGTACCTGCATTCATTGGGTCCTTAGTTCTTGTCCCACGTCCAAGAAGAATGAGATTACACCGACAATCGAAGAGTGAGGAGGGTGGAGAATAGTTTTATTGAGTGATGAAACAGCTGTCAGCAGAGAGGGGACTCAGGGGTGGTCTTCCACCCAAAGTTGGGTGGTCTCCCTTGGTGTGGCTGGGTCCAGGGCTTTTATGGGCTCAGAATGGGGAGTGTGTGCTGATTTGTTTGTGAGTATGCAAAAAAGGCTAAAACAAAGTCACCACTCAAAGATGGACACAACAGTGTAATAAACCAATTAGAGAAGGGTAAGTATATGTAAAATAGGTGAAGGGTGGGGATTAATTAGAGGAAAGTGCACCAAACAGGAAGAGAGGTTTGCAGTCCAGTCTGGATTTATCGGAGACTCGTTGCTTGGCTTTCAGGCTTTAAACTGTGGCTTGAAGGTTGGGTTTCACTGGTGACTCGCCCCTCTCTGCCTAGGATTTGTCTCCCCCCTGCCTCTATCATTTCAATACCTTGATGCTGGAGTATCATATGAGAGACTTGGTTAAGGTCAAAAACAGAGTTCAGTGTCGATCACATGACCTAAAATATGAAAATCGTCATGTTCAAGTTAGGAGAACAGTTATGTTATTACATGATGATAGTTTATTTTTGTCTTTTATTTTCTCTTGACAACCATATTGACACGATGATACTTTAATAGGACACGGGATGCTGCTGCATACGGAATCAGAGTAGGAAAGTTGCTTGCATTTAAAGGTCTCTGTTTATGCTAATAAAAACATTTATGATGTTTGTAGGATATGGGGAATTTTCCTTCTTACTTGATGCTATATTTCCTTTCAGGGATGATTAATGATCTGCCCTCCTCTAATCTCTAGAGTTCTTGAAGATTCTGCCTTCCTTGACCATGTGTAATACAGTTTCTGTTTGTTCTGATAGTCATTCATTCAATACACTGTTTATTACTGACTGTCAGGTATGTGTTAGGCATTGTTCTAGATGCTAGGACTAGAAAAGTAACAACATAGATGAAAACCATTGCCCTGGGGTAACTAACGTTCTAGACATGAGACCAGCATTAGCAGCGAAGTGCGTGGCTCCTGGGGGACAGTGACTTGGACCGAGGATGAGGAGGATCAGAATTGTAGCCAGGATGGCCAGGAAGGGTCTCACTCTGAAGGTGAAGTTTTGACCAAGCCTTAAGCAGTGTAGGAGGAAGGGCAGGTAGGAAGAGCCTGGTGTGGCTAGGGTGCAGCAGGTGGTGGAGGGAAAAGCAGGAGCTGAGGATAAAGAGGTGACTTAGGTTCAGCAGTGGTGCCTTGCCAGGTCATAGTGAGGACTTCAGTGTTTATTCTGAATAGGATGGCAACCCTTCGGAAGGTTTTGTTCAAGAGGAGGAGTAACATGATAGACTGTTTAACAGGCTCGCTCTGGCATCTCTTTTGAGAATGTACTGCAGAGGGGCAAGGGCAGAGGCAAGGATTCCAGCTAAGAGACTGTTGAACAAGCTAGCAAGGAGATGCCAGTGGCTTAGTTCACGGTGGGTAAGAGGTTGACTTCTGCATGTGTTTTGGAGGTTGAGACAATATAATTCATTTATAGATTGGAAGTTGGGAGAGGGATGGGTAGAGAGGGAGGAGTTAAAATGTCCCCAAAGTGTATGACCTGAGCTAAGAAACTCAGATGGGGAATACTTGGGAAGGTCCTGCCTGGTGGGAAGCTTTCTGTTGCGAGTGTTGGATTTATGTGTGTTGAATGTGAGGCTTCTGTTAGACATCCTTGTAGCAATGTTCAGTGGGCTTTTGGGTCTACAGGTTTGGAGCTAAAAGAATAAGCCTGGGCTGGAGGTAGACTGGAGGTCGCATCAGATGAGGTTACCCAGGGTCTGAATGTGAGTGGCAAAGGAAAGAGGCCAAGGGCCTCTGCAGGTATGGGGAGGTCCAGGAGGTGGCAGGCAGACCACGGTGTGGCTGTGTTCTCCACCAGTTCCAGCACTGTCCCTAAAAGCACGCTCCCTATTCAGAGGACTGGCAGGTGCCAGCACTTAAATAGCCAGACTGCCATTCCTTGAGGACAGAGCTGGTATCTTGTGCTTGCATCACTTGTGTCTGGCATGTGGTTGGTAATAAAAAAAAACAACTTGAATTAATGATAACCTACACATTCTCCTGTTATAAAAACTTCCAGTGTGTACAGTTTAACATAAATCCTGTATGTTAGCGTGACGTGTAATGAATGCAGAGGCTGCTGGGGAGTGGGTTTGAATGTGCACGTTCTGCCCAGTGTGTGCACTGAAACTGTTTTCTAGTTTTCTGATGTAGCTAAATTTGGAGTTCTTTTCTCTCTTTCTCTATTTTCATTCAGGGCTGAACTACTAGCATTCTCATGTAAACTCTTGGGGATTTTAAAAAAAGGAGTAATCGTATGCAAACTGTTATCTTAAAGCTAACAGTTTTCTAAAGGAAAAGAAGAACCCTTTGTTGAATTTATAAAATATAAATCTTTTGGAAAATAACTTCTAAGTGTTTTAGGAAGATTTCTTCGAAATGAAGTGCTTTACAGCAAGCTCTTAAATTTACTTGTATGTTTTTTGTAGTTCTCCCTGGTTGAATGAAGTGTAGTTGGTACTAAATGGAGAGAAGTTGGTTAAATTCATTGAGTCCAATTCCCGACATTTCTGCCTGTCAGATTAATAATATTAAGTCACATTTTTTTCTAATGGAATTACTATGTTATAAAAATGCCATCTGCCCTTTTCTGCTTGTGATCGCAGAAGTCCCAGGGAAGAGGTGTGGAAAATCATGTGTCTGGGATCCAGCTGACCAAATGGGAGAACTGCTTCTAAGGGGGACTCTTTCTTAAAGTGTACAGTACCTCTCCGTCTTTTTTTTTTTTTTTTTTTTTTCCAGATGGAGTCTCACTGTCACCCAGACTGGCTGGAGTGCTGTGGCTCTATCTTGGCTCACTGCAGCCTCTGCCTCCTGGGTTCAAGAGATTCTCCTGCCTCAGCCTCCCGAGTAGCTGGGATTACAGTTGTGCACCACCATGCCCGGCTAATTTTTAAAATATTTTTAGTAGAGATGGGGTTTCACCATGTTGGCCAGGCTGTTCTCGAACTTCTGACCTCAAGTGATCTGCCCACCTCGGCCTCCCAAAGTGCTGGGATTACAGGCGTGAGCCACCACACCCGGCCT